AAAATTTCTGCTCAAGTCTTGGCTATTGAACAGCGAAAATCGCAGGTCTCTATCTCACTCCTATCAAAAGTTATTTAAAAAGTGGCACCCTGCACTGTATTTTGGTATGGATACTAGTAACTTAATGTTTTTATCAAGTGAAAGCGCTTTTCCTGATAGATAGATTGAGGGATAATTTTCTGGTGATTTAGAATTTGAAAACGGCATATAAAAACATTTCTCTATGTTTAATTCAATATCATTTTGATCACACCAATCTGCCAGGACTTGTCGTATTTACGTTGAAATCACCGGTTAGAATTAGAAGAGCATTTTTCTTTGTATTTTCAAGAAGAAACTTCGACAGATTATCATAGTAGATTTTTTTAGAACGCGGATAACGATAGATATTACAAAAGTGAAAAACGGATGCATTAATTTCTACTTCGTGCAGCACAGTCATAGCTTCATTAGACGTAGCACAAGTGAATGTTGAATCTCGTGACTTATATATGTTACTACTCCTTGCGACCTGCGCGTAAAGTCATTTCTGTACAGCAAATAGCATGGAATAGAAATTTTCTGAAATGGAACTATCTGTAAAACTTTCCTGAATTGCAATAATTGTCGGTTTTTCTCTCAATGACATAGATTTCAGTTCCTCGATGTATTTTAGGAGGCTTTGTATGTTATGGGAAAATATTTTTTAAAAAGCTTTTGATGTTAACAGAGGTGAAACGAGAGGATCAGCTGAATTCGTAGACAAAACTTTCGAACGTGCCTGTGTTGGTCATAAACACAAGAAATTAGAAAAAGTTTGATACATTAACTGACGTCCTACAGAATCTGGATGTAATTCATCATATAACATTCCTTTTTCAAAATTCACAGGTAAAAATTCAACATTTTCCTTCGACATAATATTTTTAACTGTTTGTTATACTCAGCTATTTTCTCGAAGTTACCTGTATTTCATTTTCGCCCTCGAAATAGAACAGCAGCCATACATACATTAACGCTTGAATTAATTAATTTTGTGGTTTTAATTATACTTTCTGCTTCTTCTATACAATTACTAACTGTATGGTTACTAACAGAATTGGTTCCACAGACAATAATAGCTGATTCTGATGATTGAAGCAGATTTTGGTATTTACTTCTTAATTTTATATTTAAATCCTTGAGATTCTTCTGGATGTGTTCTAATTTTAACAGTGTTAGTTTTATCGCTCAGGACTCTAGAGTCTAGATCATGTAACAAACTGTCACCAACAATAACAGTTATTGTAATACTTGACTTTGATTTACGTGATGATTGAATTTGACTAGAGTTATTACTTGGAACTGAGTTCGTTTTGTTTGGTGTTGATGTTAAATTTTGCAAGTGAGATGGAGAACGGGGTGTTGCATTATTACTGACACAAAGAGTTGAATTTTGCACTGGAAAATCAAAAATAGGTGCAGATGGATCCAGAGCTTTTGTTTGTTTTTTCTCTTGTGTAGAAGTTATGAGTATTGATAGAATAGCCGCATTCTGAGAAATGATTTTATCATTTTGATTGAGAATTCGATCAATCAGATTAAAACTCTCTAATAAATGACCCTTCTCGTTTGAATTGCTATCACAAATTCTTTCTTTATCATTCTGTAAACAAAATGAGTCATCGTTGTCCTCTAATTATGCTGTAGGGATCTTAAAGCAGCTACAGTTGTTTGTGATAACTCAGATGTTTCTTGGGCTAAGTAACTTGTATCATTTTCATCAGTTTCATTGAATAATATTAATTCTATCAATTGCTGTTTTAGAAATGATGATGCTACGATAATATTGAGATTTTTCAGTTGTATAATTAATTCTCGTTTGCTAAGTACTTTTTTGAGGAGATGGGTAAGCCGGAGCTTGTGTTTTACTAGTAGTGGTGGTCGTTGTAGCAGCATAGTATGCTGTTGCGTCGGGTTTCGGAAATATTGGGAGGTTGAAATGTCTTTTTTGCCTGCAGAAGTAGAAGTGAAAACTTCCTTCATCTCAAAACTCTTACAACCTTCGTCTTCATCACCATCCTGATTAATATTTCGTCTTCTGTTTCAAAAGCAACATCTTGCTATTGATGCGGATTTTGATTAATTTGTGTTTTGGTGGATAGAATAGATAGGGATGAGGATAGAGTGGATAACTTTAAATCTAATCCATCTAAAATTCTGGCGAGAACTGGCATAATCGTCATAAAGGGTGATAGCTACGATAGATAGTGCACATCGTCACTATCGACCTCTTCCTCCTCTTCTTTATTCTGATTAGTCATTTTCTGTACGTCATTCACATTCCTTTCCTTTGCTCCTTTGTTCGTCTTTTGGGTATTACTGTATGTGTATGTGCTTCACGTCTAATCTGTCTATCTTCTTATCTTATCTGATCTATCTGTTATTTTTTATCACTGTGCGTGTTATGCGTTTTCATATTGTTTTTCTAAAAATACATTATCTGCAGGTTAGATCGTTACATTTATTCATTCACGCTCATTATCTGCAAGTTAGATCATCACATATTCTGAGTGTTAGCTACCTTTCCTAGGAGACGGGACTTTGAGCAGGACTCCAGCAGATTCAACCTTAGATCTGATACAGGAGATTCAGTGGGTAGTTTAACATTTGGTGCCGTAACCCGGGAAAGTCTGCATATTACTCTACCTGCTTTTTCTCTCAAGTATTCTCTAAATTAGTTTTCTTTGTCAGATAGTTAGTATGATAAAAGGGAAATACGGTTAGGTAAGACCGAAAAATATAGGAAGTCAAAGAAAAGAAAAAACAAAAAGAAGAAAACGAACAAACACGAATCAGTCAAACAGACTGATATAAAATAGGGAATTAAAAATCCCGAATTTTATCCGTATCTGAATGAAATTAAAGAATGAATACGAGAAAATCTCATGAATAACACAGAAACCATTAAAGATAATAATAATTTTATTCACCATATTAAAATTTATAATTCTATTACTCCACAAGTCAAAAGAAGGCTAGCATTAATCCCATCTGCAAATAATCCAAATCGACGCAAACAAATGAGTACAGATAATTCAATTCATATTGAAACAGAACAGTCGCCAGGAAAAGAAGAACATTCGCTGTCTCTTTTAACTTCTGCGCAGTTGGGAACGACGAGTGCAACTAAGGAAAGGGAGCCAAGCGAAGGAACAAAATTATCATCTCTAACGGCATCGAAACCTCCGACTTCTATACAGCCTTCATCGGCGCTTGTAACTAAGGAACAAGGTGGAGATAATAGGATGGGAGAAGATGAAACATTAGATTTTGATAATTTTATTGAAGAAAAATTTACGTTATTTGATGGAACACAAGATGTAAAACAACGGTAGAAAGAAACTGAAAAAAAATTTCGTGAATTTAAATTAAATAAATATGACAGATATTTAGCCGTGCCATTACTAGTAATTGATGATGCAAAGTACTAGTATATAACAATTCGTAATCAGATTAATAGTTTCGATGATTTTTATGAACGAATGCTAATTAAATTTGATAAATCAATCAAACCACCAATACTATGGTGGTACCAAGAAAGAAATTTTAGAAATTCCTGAATTATATTATATAGTGCTTCTTCATGTCTTGGTTGTGGATACGGTCGACATGCTGGTGGTGAATGTGGCACTGTGTTTATTATATGACTGATTGGTGTTTTCGCAATGTTG